TGAAAGTAACAGCACATGAATTCACGTGTGTCTGAACAAAGATTTTTAATGAGTCTATCTAATCAGAAGTGATACCAAACCAAGGAAAGCATAGGTAGCTATGTATGTAGCAAGGGTCTAACTGATGAAACCTTGTTGCACTTCTTTTGCTGCTACTCATGTAACTCTGATTATTCCTTCTCCAGTGCGCTGGGTTCAGAACTTCATGCTCTTTCCAGCGGGAAGGAGGCTATGAAAAAAGGGATACAGAGATCTGCCTCTGTCACCAGTGGCAGAGAGCCCTGCAACTGAGTCCAACTGTGTTGGTTGTGACACGGGATGTAAAATAGGGCTGTGACTTTTCTGTCAGTCTTTTAATCTCGGCACCATCATCTGACCCGTCTCCACGAAGCCCCGTGCTCCCAACTCTCTCTCAGCATTGTCCATCTACTTCCACCAGGACCGGTGTGTCAGCTTCAGGAGCTTCTATCTTTTCCTCCTGCTTCATGTGCTCCTTGTAAACTGTGTCGCTGTGCTTGAAGGGTTTCCACATGTGAGCTTCAGACACAAGCTGGCTTGTCCTGAGTGGTATCCCTTCACCAGGTGGCTTTGGTGCAAAAAGTTGCTCTTCACCTGGCACATGGAGTTTATAGCCACTTGTCTGTCTTTCTCCCTCAGTAGCAAGCCAGCTGGCACACATTTTAAGACCTGTGGTGCCTGCTCTGCTATAAATATAAATATACCAGAGTATCTCTTTCCTTGAGGACAGCACAGCAAACCCTTGCTCTTGCTCTCTCTTGATGTCTTCTAGTATTCAGGGGGAGAAATAAAAGCAATCAAATGTAATAATAAAAAGCTAGCTCCTAATTCTTACACCTAGTCTATTTAAACAACGCTAAGGCCCTCAGTCTTTACTTATCTGTGCATTACAGAGCATTTGGTTTCCGATTTAAGATTTAATAATACCTGATGCATCTTCTCAGATCTGGTCTGGTGACAGGCAGAAGCTGCAAATGTGCAGGAGTGAAGAATTCATCTGACAGTCCCTGCTGCTGTTGCACACAATTTGTGAGTGTCTCAGCTGCCTCAGGAAAATTCGGAGTGACCAGGCCTATACAGTACAGCCAGGAATCCCTTAGTGTCAGCAAGTTTGTGACAATATTTCTAAAGTCCCTTGCAAAGGTACGCCCAGGCCTGCACCTGCATGAAATTCAGTGGATTATATCCCCTTGCAGTTCCGATGATTTCTGGGAATATTCAGCTGCCAAGTGTGGCTCTTAATTTCTAAAGCAATGAGTCATGGTGACGTCATTACTTCAGTGCACAGTCACTGTGCAATAATTCAAATCACCATTGTCGTTATTATTACTTCCAACAAGCAACCTGATACCTTCTGCCAAACTGGGGCAGGTGTGTGAATGTAACCACTGTGCAATTAATTAACCTGTGTTGCCAGTCAGTATGCAACACACAGCTCCCTGCATCCCAACTGAGTTCAATTTAGCAGAGCGGCTGCAGGATTTGAAAGTACTTTGCAGTAGAAACTCAATTAAAAAAATGAAAAGCAGGCAGCTCTAGGGCCAGCTTTTCAGCTTCACATCACACCTAACAAAAATGAGCACCTGCCTCTATCAGTCAAAGGGTTTTGCAGGACTGTGGGATAAGGAGGAGAGAGTTGCATGTTATTTCTGAAAACTGTGAGCTTAGAAATCATCTGATGCATGAATTCTGAGTGAGCGAAATAGCAAAGGCCGGCTGCTCACCACGGTGACCCTGCAAATCCCTTCAACTGGCAGCACAGCAAGAACCCGGGAGCTGCCTGGGGTCCCTCCTCTCTGTGCAGCTACAGAGCTACTGCGGAGCCAGATTAAATTGCTGGATTAAGCGCTCCCACAGCCTGGCATCTGGATCTTTGTGACAGCTGTGCCCAGGAAAGAAGTCAAGCATCAGTGCCATAACTGCGTCAGCTGGTGTGTCATGGGTCACAGCATTACAGCTGGAAAAGGTCTGTTAGGTCATTCACTCCCATTTCTTAGCCAGCGCAGGATTTGACTCAATAAAGTGTTTGCTACTGCCCTAAACATGGCATTTTAAGAGATTTGGACAATGCAATCCTCTTCCCCTTCTCTTGGGAACTTACCCATCATCTGTTATAACTTGCTGCCAGGAAGGTTCAGCCTAACATTCCCCTGTTTTAATATGATCCCGTTAATGACTTTTCTTGCCTTTCCTTTTTATCAAAGCCTCCCCTTTCACTGAGCTGTCCTTTCCTCCCCCTGTACAGGTACAATAGCCTGCTTAGTTCCTTCTGGGCTGCGCTGGCTTTTGAGGGGAGGATACCCCACACTAGGGTTCTCATTCCTGAGGGCCCCCAAAAGGCTGCATTCCTGTTCTGCCAAAAAGCCTCATTCACTGCCCTTAATTATCTGCACTGAAAGACCCCACACGCTCAAATTGTGAGATGTTTCCACTAAGACAAGTATTTTCAGACTCTTCATTTTTTACCTTGTATGTCTAAGTTTGGAATTATTTTCTATTTTTTATCCATTCTCCAAAACTTAGACGATGGTCCCTACATGCAGCCACATGCGTTGGAAGGTCAGTTCTGTTATTTTTCTTCACAAGTCTGTTGTTCTTGTTGCCAAACCCGCATTGCTGCTGTGAGCAGGGCTCCGTCCAAACAACATGCCGGTTGGAGGGAGCAGAGGGCTGGGTGCCTCTGCCTGCATCAAGCCTGGGTTCCCCCATGGGGAACACCGTGCCAGTGTCACTGCATGCCTGGTGCTCACCAGGTCCAAGCTGCTTTGTATTACTTCCTTGTCTTTGTTGATATCCCTCATTTCCCTCCAGGCAATGGGATTCCTGAGCATCAGTGCTTTGCTGGCCCTTTTCTTTTCGCCTTATGTAATTAATGGGTAACGAAGTTCATCACTGGAGCTATTGCAATGCATGTCACCTTCTGGTGCCACAGCAAGACATTATCAGCATTGGCCTCCTTTTGATCTAGGTTTCACACGCCATTGGCAAGATCAGATTCATGCTTCTGTGAGTAATTTGGAGAGTGGCTTTTGCTAACAGTGTTACGGAACATTTCATTATAATTTACCTTTCTTTTCCTTCAGCTCATTACTCTTTCCCATTACCAAGTATGAATGTTGCCATCCAACACACATTTTCCTTTCACGTGGTTACTAGGCATTTCTTATGGTTTCTACTGTAAAGAAAGAAACTGAGAGATGGATCAGGTTAGCTTCCAAAAGCTGTCCTCCACTGTTTTACTCTTTATGTTCAGATGATACTGATTAAAATCATATGCTGTTGCATCTGAAAGAAATTTCCTCACCTGTGTGACAAGCTGGGCTTTTATCACAAGTGAAGAGAGAGTGTTTCACTTATCTCTTCTTGCTTTTTTAAGCACAGTTCTCTCATTCTTACTGTCTTGGCTATGATCTCAGAAATGGATCGATTAAAATCAAGATTCTGTGGACTAATACCCTGAATCAGCAACTGGGATTGCAGAGGAACATGTATTTTCTAAGGAAGCTGTCTCTGTAGGTTGCAAAAGAAAAAAACTACTAAAAATAAAATCTCACTGTTGGTTTTGGGATTTGAAAGGCTATTTTTACAAAAACCAACTTTTGGGATAAGCATGCTGTGTTAGGTTAGGTCTTTGAAGGGACTCTCTTTTAGTAGTTTAAGTCTGACCTTATTTGAAATGTACTACTTTAAGATCTGTATCTTTAAAAATAAAAGGAAAAAGAAAAAGACTTGAAATAAGACCAAGTGAAAAGTGAGAGTCCTCGTCTTTTCAGCTCTGACATCTATGCAGCAAAACTGGTGCAGAAAACATATTTTGTGTACATTCTCCTACATTTTCTTTACTTTTAAAATCAACCAAATTAATGACAAGCCTGTAACCATGAGTCTATAGCCTTATCCAGTAGAGCTCTTATGACCAGACCCTTCAGCACAAGTATTTCCACTGACTGCAGTGCTAAGCACATATATAAATACTTTGTTGAATCAGCACCATAGCTAGAAACCAGCATTTAATACCAGTCTGCCATTAGGCTGCAGGGACTAAAAATAAATAGAATTAGTTCTTTGTGTCTCTGATCTGAACAGAAGTCTAAAGGAGAGCATGTCCCAGATCTTCAATATTCTCCACAGCATAATTTCAGTATTCTTACGTCTTGTACAGCTGAGAACAAGCTCTGAGACGTAAGGTGTGACTGGGCATTGCTAACATGTGGTGCCACAGGATGGCCCCTCTCTTGTCACTCAGCATGTCCCATGCATCTTTACGGAGCTTCCAATTATGTCTTTAGGACTGGCCAAAATGACAAATGTGGCAGGAAAAAAAGAGGGAAACCAAGTCTTCATCTCCTCCTTCCTGAAGGTCCCTCTGTTGTTTCTCCACGTTTCCTGTGCTCCCTCCCATCCTGCTCCCTTGGCGCAGGGAAAGGGTTCGCTATGTCTGTGTCCTTTGAGTCTTGTCCTGCAGGACTTGCTGTGTCGTGCTGGGCAACCTAGGTCTGCTTGCAGGGCTGCACCCTGAATTATTGTCCTGCTGCAGATCAGCCTTTGGGAATCAGCAAAGATACTCTTCTGTAGTGGATAACTTGCTGCTGAATGCATCCTAACACACCCTCCTCCTCCTCCTGTACTCTGTGAGGGACAATGGAGGTGGAGGATTTCCCCCTCCCCATGAGCAGCCACCGGTGGCTCCCTGGGTGCAGGGATGGAGGAGCGCCCACCTCTGCAACCACCAGCACCAGCACAGACTTGTCAGTGGAGATGGGGAGCACTCGGTGTTATTTTAAACAGTGAGATGTCTTAGTCTGCTTTTTTGCAGACTACCTAAGCTGGGCACAGAGGGTGGCTGCCAAAACACGAGAGCAGCTGATGGTGCCTCTGGCTACTGCTGGCAGGCTTCCTCCAAGAGGCTCCAAGAGCCAGGTGAGATACCACACCAGTTCCCATCACAGCTCCTGCATGATCGGAGAAGTGCTGACAGTGGCATGGCCACAGGGTGAGCTGCAGGCTGGCTGGCCCCTGCACACCTCAGACGGACACTGTGGCTCGGTATGTGCGTATTCCTGGCTGCTGGCGAGGTCTGCGGCGCCTTTCCTCTGCTGCATCACTCCCTTTGAAGCCATGAAACGTTGCTCTGACCCTTCAGATGGAGGATGGAGTCCAGGGGACAGGCATGCTCTACCCTCTGCAGCGCTGGCTGCCTCTGTGCATCCCTTACCTCTGTCTCTGGGTACCTGTGCTTCGGAAATGTAGATAGATGAGCCGAAACCAACAGACCTCAGCACCCTGCAAGCCTGTGGTCTGAAACCAAGGTGTGCATCATTAGCATGAGGCCACAGTCCTTAGGATGGGGTGTATCTCTCTGTCAAGGCCTGTGCACCCAGTTTGCTTCTGTCATAGCAAGGCGTCTGTGGTCTGATGTCCCTCAAGGAATTCCGGTGTGTAAGTGCCTCTGTGTGTGCCTGTGTGTTTGCATTTACAGTCCTTAGTCCCCCCAAGTTTTCCATTTGCAGTTCTGCTTACAAGGGACTCCCTTGCTGTGTTTCAGCCAAATCAGAGATACCAGCGAAGAGGGAAAAGAGACACATCTCTGTCAGGCCACTGCCCTGCGAAACTGCCTCCCTCTTCCAGGGATCAGCATCCTTGATAAACTCATCAAGACCTGTCCCATCTGGCTTCAGCTGAACATGAACCAGGAAAGGGCTGGGGCGATACTTGGCAAAGAAACAGCAGGGGTAAGTCCAAAGCGGTTTCGGTTCAGACAACCACATTTCCTGTCCTTGGTGGAGCTGGTTAGGAGAGCAGCGCTTTTTTTCTTGTGGAAGCAAAAAATATTTAGAAGACTATGCTTTCTGTTTCCATTACCTTTTGATGCTTTAGCCACAATGGCGCAAGAAAGATATAATGGCTTTGGGGAAGCAAGAAATCTTGTCTCTGGTTTTATTTATTTAGCACGTAGGTTCATGGAGATGCCTTCCCATTCACCACCATACCCATAGGTATGTTGGCTATCTTAATTTGGAACAATAAAAAAAATCCCTGAAGAAAAAGCCCTTAAATTCTGGGACCTGCTGGGAGTTGTTTTTATTGCAATAATTGGTATCTGGTCCCCATAAGCTGAATGTTAGAAAATGGCAGACTCGTGCAAAGCTCAGCACTTGCTTAAGGAAAACAGCTCTGTAGGAAAAGGAGCTCCCCATTCCCAGGGTCTCAGAGGTGAGGCATGGCAGGGAGTAGGTGTCCTGGTCAGGTGTGGGGAGGGCAGGTGCAAATGACCTGAGCTGCTGCCACAGCACAAGGGGAATTCACTCACTCCTGCTCTGAGGAGGTTTGGACCTGTGCCTTGGCTGTGTCAGTCTACCCCAGTGCTAAAAGCTGGCACAGCCAAGTGACAGCCTCCAGTGGGACTCACCTGACCAACCCAGACTGTGCAGTGCACCTCACCCTGAACCAGACTTCTCAAATAGGTTGGGCAAATTATTCTGTTTGTTTTTCTGCACGGACTGTAAAGGGAGACCTGAGTGACTGTCTCTGATATAGCCGGGTATGGCCGTGAGCCTCCTCGATCATTAGCCACTCCCTGCAGGCAGGGCCGTTCCTCACCTCTGAGCAGCTTTGGGGATAAATCTTACCTCTGTTCCTCCTGCTCACACCATCCTCGGGCACGGTCTTCAGCTGCAGCTCGAAGCAGGCAGGAGAAGAGCTGATGCATCAGAGGTGTCCCACAGCAAGGGCAGGCTCCCCTGCCCACTCTGAGCCCACCTGAAGCTGAATCAGCACCACACCTTTCCCACCACCGGTGAAAATGGAAGAGACTGGTTTGCATACCGGTCCTGACCTGGGCAGTAGGGTTAGGTACAGCTCAGAAAACCCACCTCCCTCTCATCTGAACAACCATGGTCCAATTTTAGCCTTTGGAACCATGGCAACCAGTCATTCTGATCAGGAAAACAGAAGTGATTCATTTCCAAGTTTCACTTCTCTCGTTGCTTAAATTTAATTTCAGATGAAGCACTTGACCGATGCAATGTGAGACAGTGCCATCTGAGATCGAAGGTTGCAGTAGTCTCTCTAGGTGGGTCAGAGGGACCGTGCTGTCACATGGGTGGTAGGACCTGGGGAAGGGGGAGAGACTATAGCTTTTTCCTACCTGCAGATACTTTCTGTGATGTAGAAGGTGGGGGCTGCCCTGCGTTAGAAATAGGCCTGTTTCAGGCATGCGCCTGTTTGCCATGTATTTATTTGGATTTTCTCTGCACTGCTGGTGGACTTGAGCCCATGGGGCTCAATTTTTTATGAATGGCAGAGGCCACGGCACTGTGCGAGGTTGTGAAGCTGCCCCAAAGCTGCATGTTTAGCATGGATGCTTCAAACTGACAGGAGATGCCCTTATGACTGGGACTCATGCAGAGAAAGGTCCTGGCTTCTAGACAAGCTTTTTTTTAATTCCTCTGTCCAAGTAATTAATGTTTTCTTGATAGATTTCCACTGCATTACAGTTGATTAATCATTTTATCAACTCACGCTTCTTTCTCATATTAATATCCAGACTCCAGAATTAGCCCAATTTTTTAATTCAGTTTTTATAAAAATACCTTGATTGTCTCCTGCCAAAACCTGCTATCAAAGAACAAATAAAGGTGAAGATTACTTTGTCTTTGTATCTGCAGCTTCAGGGTACAAGCTAAAAATATCCTTGACAATGAGCTTTGATTAGAAACACACTTAGTAGCTCACACAATACAAAGAATGAGATATTTTTCTTTTTTCTTTTTCTTTTATCTTTATCTTTTTTCTTTTCTCTTTTCTTTTTTCTTTTTCTTTTGTCTTCTGTCTTCTTTCTTCTTTGTTTCTTTTTTTCTGTTTTCTTTTTTCTTTCCTCTTTCTTCTTTCCCCTTTCCTCTTTCTTCTTTTTTCTTTTTTTTTTTTTTTTTTTTTTTACTTGTCCCCTTGGGGGGAACCAAAGGAACCAATGGCTACAGTGAATCCACTCGTTCCAGTTAAAGACTCAGGGGCCTCTTATCAATGTGTACAAATACCTGATAGGAGGGAGTACAGAAGACTGAGCCAGACCATCCTCAGTGGTATCCAGTCAAAGGATGAGGTGCAGTGGGCATAAATTGAAACACAGGAAATTCTGTTTAAACTTTAAGAAAAGCTTTTTTATTGTCAGGATGATTGAACATTGGAACAGGTTGCCCAAGAGGCTGTAGAGCCTCCATCCTTGGAGATAATAAAAAACCTGACAAGATACAATCCTGAGTGACTTGCTGTAGTTGATCCATCTTTGAGCATGGGGGTTGGACTAGATGATCTCCAGAGTTCCTTACAACCACATCTGCTCTGTGATTTCGGGACCAGTCAATACACTTGAAGTCGGTGCTGCCATCTAGAGGGATCTTAGACAAGCTGAGGGTACAGGGCTGGCAGGAACCTTCTGAAATTCAACAAGGACAAATGCAAAGCACTGCCCCCGGGAAGGCAGACCCCCAACAGCTATCCAGGCTGGCACTGCCTGGCGGGGCAGCTCTGCGGGAAAGGCCCTGCAGGGGCGGCGGGCAGCAAGCTGGGCACAGACCCACTGAGGAGAGGCTGTGGGACCAGAGTTTGTTCAACCAGGAGGAGAGACAGCTTCAGGGAGACTGCACAGCATTCCCCTGGTACCTACAGGGAGGTCATGGGGAAGGTGGAGCCAGGCTCTGCTCAGCACTGCACGGTGGGAGGACAAAAGGCATCAGGCGTACATTGAAACTGGAGGGGTTCAGACTGGGTACATAGAAACACTTTCTCCCTCTGAGGACAGTAAGTGGTGGGACAGGTTTCCTGGAGAGGTTGTGCAGTCTCCACCCTTGGAGGTTCTCCAGACCTGTCTGGACAAAGCCCTGAGCAACTTGGTCTGGCCTCATGGCTTCACCCAGGGGGATGGACGAGAGCCCTCCTGGGGTCCCTGCCAGCCTGAATGATCTTCTGGTCCTATGAAAAACTTTGCCATGAGACACTGTGGCCACCAGAGCCTTTGGCCTTATGTTCCACTTGTGGACCCTTGAATCCTTTCCCTCTCAACATACAAGTGACTCCCTTGCTTTAGACCCAGACTGGGACATTCTAGGGTGAATTGTCCGTGATTTAGGGCACTTTTGTGAGGAACATCACTTGACAAATTGTGAGTGCAGCTTTATACTGTTCAGGTAGTGAAATAGTTTGCCTTAGGCTTAAATGGGACATCAGTGATGCATAGAAATTTTGCTGGTTCCTTTGCAGGTCTGAATTTCACCCAGATGAAACGTCCCTTTATTCATTATTTTTGTCATGTAAAGTTCAGCCAAGTGGAATGAAGCTAAAATAAGATCATTTAAAGGTGGATTGTACTGATAAAAAACTTCATTGCCAGTGACCTAAAATAAAGTTCAGAAGCTCACATAATGTAGCTAAGCTCTTGATTCCTTTCTCCTTTTTCAGATATTCTTGGTTAGGAAAGAGGGTAACGTGAACAACATGGTCCTTGCGGTCCGCCTGCCAGTGCAGAACGAGGCTCCCGGTGTGCTGGAGTACAACATTAAAGAAGAAAAATCAAGTAAGTTAAGTTCTTTACATTTTTTGTCTTGCTCTGATTATTGTACTGAATCCTCTTGTGATCACTAGTATTTATGTAATCTCACTTGCAATGAGCAGGTTCCTCTTGTGACCGGCAGCAGATCTTGCTTTTATGGTGTAGTTCAGTTAATATTTCCTGCAGCTGCTTTACCTCAGCTCCCCTGTGGTTCTGCACCTTGTATTATCATTTACAGGCTTGCAACAGGAAAATAAAGTACCCCCAGATGAGCAGGCCAGTGCTTTGATCAAGCGAGAGGAGCTGCCCTTCACCAGGTGGAAGTCCTGAGCAAAGTGCAAGGCACTGACAGACTAAGCCTTGTTAACTCACTGGCTCTGTCTCTATTTCTGCCACTGAATTTGGGGCCCACCAGGCATCTGACATCTGCTACGTTCCCTTTTCATGCACCTCATACAGTCATACTGAACAACCGGTTACTCCTGAAGTATTTCACTGTTTTCAATGCCTCGCTGTTTCTGGGAAGCAGCTGGGTCTTGGGGCTGGTGGTATCAGTGCTGTTCCTGATCAGACAGCCCAGTCTGCCATGAGCAAGCAAAAATGAACCCAGTTCACAATCATCAGCCACGTCTGATGCTGCCCTCAGTGTAAATGGATGCGTAAGGCATATGATTTCCACTTTCCAAGAAACATTTGTAAACACGGGAATTTTAGGATAGTCATAGAAACACGCACTTGAAAGAGTTCATCAGAATAACTTCACACTATTTATTTATATGAACACATCCCAATCCTCTGTCACTGAGCTCTGCCCCAAAGCCAGCTCCCTGGGGTATATGTTTTACTCTCTGCTAAAACACTTGTATTTCCGTTGATCAATGTTGCGGCTTATTTCTTTCCCCTTGACAGCTGCTCAAATGAATTTTTTCCTTCTCATATGTTTCTTTGCATACCTCTGCATCATAAACAGACTTTAAAGCCAGAGGGACAAGTGGATATCTTAATCTGCTCTAATCTCAAGCACAGACCACAGGCTGTCATAGTGTTGCTCCTTCACAGAGCGCAGCTGCCTGCCCGGCTGCTGCATACCCCCCAGGAAAGCTTTCTCTCTCATCTGCGTGCACCTTGGAGCACGCAATTGCAGAGATGCCGCACATGTTCAGTGCTCCTGCATGAGGGCAGGAATAGCAAACCTTTTGCCACAACTTCAGGTGTCCAGATTAAGAATACAAGGGCAAGGGTTAGCTGCAGGGTGGGGAAACTTTTTTCTTTATTTAGTTATTTGAAGTTGACCTACGGCTTAGGTTTTGCATGGTGGGGGATTAGTTTTTGATGATTCAAGTTTTCCTTTGGATAAAAGTTAAAAAATTGAATCTTGCCATCCTAAAAATATCATTTATAGAAATGTTACTTCTTGACTTGTGTCCTGTGCCATAAAATCTGATTTCTTTGAGGACAGGCAAAGTAAAATGTAGTACAAAAATTTCACTGTGAGCTAGCCTAGCTAGAAAGACTTTTCTGCCATGTTTTTCAAACTTACTTGCTTGTTATTTCTAATTTATCACTAACTTAATGCAAAGGATGTGTTCAGAGACACAGCTTTCTGGTAGGAACAAGAATTAAATCAGTTTCCACCATTTTCATATAAGTTGCAGAGTAAGTGGAGCAGGGTAATTAAAAATGAGCTCTCGTTCAAAAAGCAGGAGAACTGCCATCACATGTGCAGTGATCCCAGCGGCCATGAGGCTGATGCATTCCTATGATGGATATTCACATTATTTTTAGCTTGAGTTCTGTCAGTGTTGAGCTGTAAAAAGCCTCTCAGTTCTCCACCCCACACTGTTTTGACAGGAACACACTGGGCACAGAAACGGTCATGCTTTTGCTTCCTTTCTCATTTAGGGTAAGTAGCCTGGCTTTTGAGTTTAGAAGAAATCAGATTAATTCCTGTTAGTAAAGTCAAAGGACTATATCTGGTGCAAGGGGAGATGGTAAATCTTCTGTGTCTTGGAGTAACCTAATACATTAGTTTTGATTTATTGTCTCTGAGTTACTCCAACTGCTTTCTAAACTTTTTTAGGAAATAAAATTATATGTCCGAATGCTTTAAAAGAATTAAGACTAGAATCTGAACTTCCTTGCTAAGTACCCTGGTACGTCTGGATTGCCTTAGCTTAATGAAGTGCCCTTCACTCTTCCCTGGTATTCTGTGTCAGGGTAAGAGACCTCTGAGCACCCCCGGAGACATTATCTTGCTGTGGGATGCAAGTCTGTTGAAAGTTCGGTGTTATACTTCCTGAGAGTGTGTAAAGCACGCCAACTGCACAGCCTGAGGACCGCTGTAGACTGGCAGGGTTTTTTCCAGGCATCTAGTCTTTAACTTCAGAAAGTCCCTCTTTAGTTCTTCTGTGTTTGCTAAAAGGAGGCTTCAGCTTGCTAATGAACATTGCAAATAGGGAGGTGAATCCTCCTGATAGCTACCTGCTCTTTGAGTCTACATGAAATGGAGTAGAGCTGGTGCCCTTCCAGTGCCCTTCAAAAGGAGCAGCTGTAATTCTCCTGCCATTCCAGAATCCCCCTTTCCAGCTGTACTGGGGACAAGCAGCTTTGGTTTGTTGGCCTGCTCCTAGTATTTCCTTTCTGAGTTGACACATAAGCAATGATCTGTGTAATGTGCCCCACAGAGAGCTGTTTGTCCCTTTCTGAGAGCTGACTCCTCATAAAGGGTTTGAAGAAGTGGGAACAAGTTCTTCTCCCTGTTACCTCAGTTCAGCTCGTTAGACGCCACAGACTTGATGCATTCAGATGTAAACTGAAAGCTAAATTTGCCTTGACCTATATAGTTCGGATTTTACAGAGATCCTCCCTTCCAGTTAAAATCCAAGTTGCAACCCATCCCAGCTGACTATTTTGGAGCACATTGCCAGCTGCTTCTTGTCCTTCTCATGAGGACTCAGTGCAATCTCAGCTTCACAAGTGACACAAAGAAGGATGTGCTATCCTTAGAGGTGACATGATGGCTCTGTGCCATCTCTACAGCGATGTCCATCTCTTACTTTTACCATATGCAGCAAGTTTTACTTGCTCAGCTGTTTGTAAAAAGCCGTTCTCATCCCATCCTACTTTTCAAATGGTACCTGAAGAGGTTTTCCCCAGTATCATAATGATGGTATGGAGGTTGCTGCCCAGCCTCTGAGATCCATATATATATACGGCCATTCAATGAAGCACAAAAAAACCAGAAGCTTCCTAGCATTGGACTGCCTAATAATGGTGGATCATTGTGTTTCTTTCTTTTCCCCATATCAGATCTGCTTTGTTGACATTTGATGAAATATTTAGGGAAGTATCGTTTCCTGAGGGGAAGACCGGATTTAATTGTGGGGTTTTTTTAAAATGGAAATCCCCAAAGAACCCACTAGCTAAGAGGGTCAAGAAATGAAACCTCTTTCCATTTTTTCGTGGGGAATTTTCACCTGTTCTGTGAAGTAGCCCTTAGAATCATAAAACAGGAGAATGAAGAGACTGGATTTTAATTTTTTTTTTCTGGTTCTTCATCTTTGGTTGTAGTTCCTCCAGAGACAGGAAGGCTAAAGCCTGGTTGCAGCAGCAGGTATGGTAGAGACCCAACAGCAGATACCACATGGTTCATCACAAAGTTCAGAAACCCAACAACTTTCAAAGCCTTGGATCTTTGTGGTTTTGCTTCTCAGCCTGAAGGATCCCTTACTTCTTATGCAGAACAGTGGAAATCTTCCAGAGGGAAGGCTTGTTACAAGATTTCTTCCCTTTAGAGATGCAGTGTTGGGAGATACCTCTCAAGCTCTGCTAAAATCTCAACTACTTCATGCGCTTTCAGTTCTGAGAGTTGTCCCTTACTTCTGCTTCATCCCAAAATGGAGGCCTAGCCTCACATACCACAAGAACTGAGCACCATTTCCTCAGCTGACTCCTACCTTTGGCTTTTCTCAGCAAACAGGTTGTAACTTCAGGTCCCGATTCTCCTTCCGCTTTATGTGTATACAGTCAGAAATCATTCCACTGACATCAGTGACATCATTGCAGCCGTATTGAAAAGAAAAGAAGCAGATGTTTGAAGTAAATGTGCATGTTTGAAGTAACATATACTGAGAGCTTGAAAGAAGCATCTAAGTATGATAGACCACTTGGTGAAGGTAGTGACAGTAGCTTTTAACTTCACAAAGTTGTGAAGACACATGCAACAGGGGTAAAGTCCTTTAATAGAAAAATGCTCTAGCACCATATACTGAGTGTAATGCTTCCTTTTTTTCTGGGAAATCTTGTCAACTATAGCTGGAAATAATTTGAATTCATGAAACGCTTGGGTTGACCATGTACTTCTCAGGAGTCTTGCACATACGCTTTGGTGTGGAATGTGTTGTAATTGTTTTCCAAACTCTTCTGTACCAAAAAAGAGGATGTGATTCCTTCCCAAATATGCAAAATGATGCTAAACAGGAGAAGTATCTGCAATTGCACAGAATAAAGAAGAACATTATTAGAAATTTTTATAGAAATAACTATGGAATTGATTTGCCAAGTCAGTACTGAACTCCTTGGGCTCATGTCCTAAGGAGTTTGAGGCTGGCCTGATCCTGCCATGGATGCCCACTCTTGTAACCATGCTGTTGCCTCCTGCCTCCCCCATTGTTGCGGCTAGCTTTGCTCACTTGGCAGTTTATTTTCCTGAGGCTGTTCACATGAGTCCATGTTGTGGAGTTGCTGTCCTTGTTCCTTATTTAAATCATAGCCACATGGGACAATCTGCCACCAGGCGTAGCTGTTCAGAATAATCTCTTCCAATGCACTGGGCCAAGGCTGAGTTGAGCCCCAAAATCAATGAGTGCACAGCTGAAGGAGGGGTTTGTAGTGAAGCCTTGTCTGTAGTGTGGTTATTTCATTTATTACAGAAAAATTCTGAGATTTAAATTAAAACTCTGCCTGCTCTGACCCTCAGAGACAAACACTGAACAAGCTGGAGCGTAACGGAGATCTTGAAATAA